TACAAACAGTATGGTCTATGGCAGGCCTCTTGCTAGCTAGCTCTTATATCTTAAATTAACCCATTTCTATTAATCTATGTTTTGCCACATGTTCTGTGGCTTACTGGTCTGCTGGCATGTTGTTCATTGGGCAGCAGGCTGGTGTATCCCAGACTCTGCCTTTCTGTTTCCTGTCTCTCTCCTTGGATTTCCTACCTGCTTCTAAGCTGCCATGACATAGGCCAAAGCAGCTTATTTATTAACCAGTGGGACAACATATATTCACAGCATACAGAAACACATCACCCAGCACTTCCCCTTTTCTGTCTAATCAAAAAGGTTTTAGCTTTAATATAGTAAAATTATATATAACAAACAGTTATCAAACAAGAGTTACAGTTATAATATCTAGTCTATTTGTATTTGACAAAATTAAAATATTTTTATCATCTATCCTATATTTGTGAGTCTAACGTTTCATATCTAATTTATCTTTTATCATAACCAAGGAAAATTATAACTATCTAGTCTTCAGCTCCATCAAAGACCCTAGAAGGATACAATATTACCTAAGTAAACAGGAAGTACATTGTAAGCAACTTCCAAAAATCTAGAATGACAGAGACAGCTGGCTGCCTGGACAGTCACCCAAAGTTATTCTGAATGTTGGGGTATCCATTCTTCAGCCTACAGGTCTAGAGTCTCTCAGTCACTTCTCTCTGTGTCCTGTAGAATGTCTGGCAGTTTCTTTTGTGAAGCAGGAACCTGAAGGACCATTTCGCCAAGCAAAGTTCAGTGGTCACCTTTCTATGGGTCCTGCATGTCCAGTCAATACAACATTTTGTCAAGCAGTCCAGGCAAGAACAGTTTCTTTCCCAAATGGCTAACTTTTGCCACAATGAAGGTAAAATTCCATAAGGAGTTTCTTTGATGCCCATCATCTTATCTGAAGTAGATTGGTGCTGCCAGGAGCAGATGTGTCTCATAGTCCAGAAAAGTCTAAGTTCTTAAAACATTTTAAATGCCATATTCTGTAGGTTTTTCAAGTGTTTGAAGATTACCTACTTAATTCCACTATATCTATGTATTCCTAGAAAACTTAACTAACGTGACTATAAGTTAGATTATCATGGATGATTAATAATTAATTTGTATTTCTTAATTATACATTACAATTTCAAATGAGCAGCACAAAGGTAATACCTTAAACAAGAGTAGAAATATACATGCATTATAACAAAATGAACTTTAAATTTGTATCAATAAACTAAAATCCATAGCAATGTAAAACATTTCAAACAAGTTGCTCTTTAAAAATAGATTCAATAATCTACCCTTTTGTCCTATTGTATCTATAATATCCCCTTTTCTTTTTATAAAGAGATTGCATTTATAATCAACCTGCTTTAATTAAAAATAAACATTTATAAATAATATTTTGGGAATTTGGGTACAGCTTCTCCTACTACTTCCTGCTGGTTGGGGCACTGGCATTCTTATGGGGATCCTGAGAAAATTAAGAATTATAGTTAAATCTTAGATGTAGTAGTCTGTGAGGCTGTATCGACCTTTCAGGGGGTCTTGGTTGATCAAACCATATTAGCTTGGAAGCAATCCACAGGTTCTCATCTTCTGTGGAAACAAAAACAGAACCTCTTTTCCAAAGCAATGTATCCTTAAACAAATTTTGAAGTCAAGATACCTTTAAAATATACATATTGGTTTAACTCAGCAGCCTTTACAATCAAAAATTGCAGTTAAAAATCCCAAAGACAATATAATCCAGACTCTGTGTATAATTTCTATCTTTACATTGTAGTGGTATTGTGTTCCCCAAAATATTGTGTATCCTAATAAACTTATCTGGGGTCAGAGAACAGAACAGCCACTAGACAGACATAGAGGCCAGAAAATGGTGGCACTCACACCTTTAATCCTATCACTTGGGAGGCAGAGATCCATCCAGATCTCTGTGAGTTTAAAGCCACACTGGAAACATCCAGGCATGGTGACTCACGCCTTTAATCCCAGGAAGTGATGGCAGGAAGCAGAAAGGTATATAAGGCATGAAAACCAGGAACTAGGCTGGTTAAGCTTTTGGCTGGTTAAGCTTTTAGGCTTTTGAGCAGCAGTTCAGATGAGACCTATTCTGGATGAGGACTCAGAGGCTTCCAGTCTGAGGAAACAGGATCAACTGAGGAATTGGCAAGGTAAGGTGGCTGTGGCTTGTTCTGCTTCTCTGATCTTCCAACATTCACCCCAATAACTGGTACTGGGTTTTATTTTCATTAACAAGAACTTTTAAGATTCATGCTACATTATTACATGGCTTAACTTTTATATTACTTTTTACTGTTTCTTTAAAGACTTTATTTTTTAAAACTATCTATTTCTTTATATAACTGCATATATTCCTTTTCCTCTCTCTTCCAAGCCTACATACATTTTTTTTTCACACACTGTAAACTGTTTAGAGTTTTAGTCCATCTGAATCTGTCTTATTGTGAATCTATAATCCTTCTCTGCCCAGGAGAGATTTTAAACTGTTAAACTGAGTGGCTAGGACAAAAAGTGGCAGCCTTGGCTGCTGACTCTGCCCACCTCAGCTTCCCAACATGGTGGAGATACCAGGGGAGTCAGGCTTACACTGCCAACTCTGGGGTCCATGCTGCCACCAGGTAGCATGTAGCTGTCCCATAAACCCTTTTTGTCTGTATGAGTAAAAGCCAAATCCACCATGCAGCATGCTGCACAGCTTAGGGATAGTTCTGTGTACCGCAGCAGGAATCTGCCATGCTGTAGGTCAAGTCCAAATGCCACAGTTTGCCTGAGAGACAGAACTAGGAAGCTGTTTTTTAGCTCTATTTTAGAATCTTTTTTTAAAGCTTTCTCAGGTTTTGGGTGGAGATTCTTGCGACCACTTCTGGGCGCCAAATGTAGTCGAAAGGTTTCTCCTGTCCTGCCCAGCCCCTCGGTCCTGCAGCCGCTTATAAAATAATCACTCAGAGGCTTAATATTATTCACAAACTGTATGGCTGTGGCAGGCCTCCTGATAGCTAGCTCTTATATCTTAAATTAACCCATTTCTATTCATCTATGTTTTGCTACATGTTCTGTGGCTTACAGGTCTGCTGGCATATTGTTCCTTGGGTGACAGGCTGGCGTCTCCTCAGACTCTGCCTTTCTGTTTCCTGTCTCTCTCCTTGGATTTCCCACCTGCCTCTAAGCTGCCTTGCCATAGCCCGAAGCAGCTTATTTATTAACCAATGGGAGCAGCATATGTTCACAGCGTACAGAAAGACATCCCCCAGCACCACTTGACTGCTTGACATGTACTCTCACTGATGATATCACTCCTCATGTTATCAGCGTTAATCCCAAAGGTGAGAATAAGACCACTACCACAGTTTGAGCCACATTTGAAGCAAACTTGATTTTTATTGGGGTGCACCAAGAGGTGGCCAGTGACTGCCTCCTAAGTCGGGTTAAGGAGAGCAGTCCCGAATCCATCTCTTAGGCCCTTTTAAGGAGTAAAATCACTAGTAGTTTTACAGAAGGGAGATAATGAGGCAATAAGGAAATAAAAAAAAATTTTTTTAAATCATGTTATCACTCACCATGTGATTAGGGAGGGTCTGGGAGGGTCAGGGTATTCTCAAAAACAAATCAAGATCATGGGTTGGGGAAGGTCAGGTTTCAGGAAACAGAGCAACTCGACTCTTATAGTAATAGAAACTTGTTTTTACAAATACAGCATAATGGTTCCAGCCTTTAAAATGGAGTCGGGCAGGTTCTTCACTCAGCTTCCAGTTGTTTGATCATTTTAATTACCGTGCTCCTGCGTTTCTTTCTAAGGACTCTATTTTATTTTATTTTATTGTGTATAGGTGTTTTGCCCACATGTGGTCTGTGTAGTACGTGTATACCTGGTGCTCAAGGTGGGCCAGAAGAGGGATCCCCTGGAACTGGATACAGGCAGTTCTGAGCTGCCTTGTAGGTTCTGGGAACTGAACCCGGGTCCTCTGGAAGAGCAGCCTTAACTGCTGAACCTTTGGTCTGTGGTCCTCCACTGTTGCTCTAGTATGTTGGTATCTTGGAGATTCTGGGTTAAAGATTTAGGTTAAGGAACATTGACAACAACATATCTCTAGAGATGGCTCAGTCTCTTCCAGGCCTTCTGAGCTGTTCTGGCTCAGAGTCTGTGTCATGGGAGACAACACGGGCCACCAGAACATCTTCTAGAGCATATTGGAAGCAAGCCCAAGAGATGATAGCAAGCGCCTTGGATAGACAGGCTGTAATGAATTTGCTTGCACAAGTTTTCGGTACAGACAGAGTGATTTTATAAGTACTTGTTGATACTTGCCAAATGGAGAAAATGAGGAGAAATGTGTGTGCGCACGCGCGCCGGGGGACGGAGGGAGGGATGAAACCAGAAAATGGATGACAGATATGAGCTGAGAGCTCCTAGCACAGTGGAACATTAGTGATCCCTGAGGGCCAGGAAAACTGACCCCATTGCAGCAGACAGCAGAAAGCACATTTGCGTTCTTAAGACAGGGTCGTTTTAAAAAGTGACTTAAATTGTTTGTCATTTTCATACATGGGTTTGGAAGGACCTGTTGGAGACCGATGGGCTGCGTGGTGGGAACACAGCTGCAGAGGGTGACACCCTGGAATGTGTCAGTCCTGGCTGGCAGGGAGGGTAGGCCAGCCCCTCCTCTTCATCCAGGCAACCATGGCTGCTGTGAGCTCAGGAATGCAATGTCTGTGTCTCCTTCACACCCACCACCCAAACAACAACAGGTTGTTGATGTGTCTGTAGCCCAGGCTGGCCTTGCCTTTACATAGACCCCTCTGCTTTAGCCTCCCAAGTGCTGAGATAACAGTCATGCACCACCATACCTGACTCAAGGGGGTTTTCTGAGGGTGAAATTAGCGTTGTTCGTTTGTTTATGAATGAAGTTTCCGTAAATGATACCAGAGGTACAATATTGTAACGAGAAAATTTTCCATTGTAGGTTTTCTTGAATTTTCTGTGGGAAAATTTACATACTTTCTGCTCAGCAGTCCCTTTCCACAGGGGGCCATTCTACGTCATATTTCAAGCAATGTGACCTTCCTTCTTTTCCAAATACACTCACAGTATCAGAACACCACCATTTCGTTTACTAAGGTAAGCAGAAAGGATTCTTCCATAAAGAGATCACCCCTATAATGTTGTCTTGTGTGTTCAAATCTGATGTCTGTTTATGTGTGGGCCTGGTCTCCAGGAGGCCTCAGTCATCTTTAGTTACAGGATCTCATTGCCTAGGCTCCCCTCTGTTCCCTTGATTCACAGACTATCTAGAGGAACAGAACTGCATAGGGTTCTAGAAATGACTGTGTGAAAGCCGTGTTGGTGCTCTTGTGTCTTTGTGTTTTGGTTGTCATGGCAATGGGTCTTTTGAAGCCACTGACCCTATACTCTCACCCCTCTCTGAGGCTTGCCAAGTTGAGACTCAGCTGCTGCCTTTTTCCTTCCCATTCTCTTAGCTTTAAGAGAACGTTCTGATTCCAAGGCAGGAGGACTAAGGGTTTAAGGGCAGCTTCAGCTGCATAGTGAGGCTGACTGCCTGGCCTACATGAACTCTTGTCTTAAAGGAAAAGGTTTACTAACAGGCTGGAGAAATAGCTCAGTGGTTAAGGAGCACTGGCTGCTTTTGCAGAGGACCTGGGTTTGGTTCCCAGTACCCACGTAATGGCTCACAACCATCCCTAACTCCAGTTCCAGAGGCTCTGATGCCCTCCTCTGGCCTCCACAGGTACCAGGCACACATGTGGTATGCAGACATGCATGCAGGCAAAAATATTCATACACACAAAATAAAAATAAGTGACTAAATAAATAAATCTTTAAGACAAAAGCTTTTTGTAAACTGAACTCTTTGGGGCCAAAGCTCCTGTTTTGTGTTGTTAGCCAGAATAAATCTTAATTCAGTTGAACTGTAGTGCTTGAAAAATTCCATGTACAATTAATTCCTAGAGTTTCTGTTTATTTTTCCCCCATCAAGCTGGGAATGAAACCTAGGCTGTCACACTTGATAGGCAAGTACTTTACTGCTGGTCTACACCCTGACCCCTAGTGTCTTGGTATTAACAGATGGAAACTGAGGACCGAGGAGATGACTCATTCTATAGGGCTCGAGTTTGATCTCGAACCCACCCAAACAAAAAAAAAAAAAACCCCAGCCAGGTCTGGTGTGGGTTCGTTACCCAGCACTGGGGAGGTGGAAACAAGGCTCACTGGCTAGTCGGTTTAGCCAATCAGTGAGCCCCAGGTTCAGTGAGAGAACTTGTCTTAAAAATAAGCTGGAGGGGATGGAGAGATGGCTCAGTGGTTAAGAGTACCTGTTGTTCTTGGAGAGGACCTGGGCTCAGTTCCCAGCATTCACAGGACAGTGCGTATCCATCTTTAACTCCAGTCTCAGGAGACCTGACACCCCCTTTTGACATCTGAGGGCCCCAAGCAGGCACATGGTGCACATACATACATGCAGGCAAACTACTCATATACATAAAATGAAACAAATAATAAATCTAAAATATATAAATTAATTAAAATAATAAATTGGAGAGGAATAAAAGATGACACCCAGTGCCAACCTCTGGCTTCCAAATATATGCTCAAATATTGGCATATGCTCATATTCACACTTGCACACACACGAATTTATACACATACAGATACTTAAAACCATAACTGGGAGGTGTTCGTGAGGAAGCCTTTACCGATAAGATAGCACCCCTATAAAACAGGCTCCCCAAGAGCCTTCCTTACTCTGCTGTGTTTATGAACCCTAAAACCTGTGGTAGTTTGTTACAGCAGTTCAAACTGACTGAGGCAGTTAGTATATATTGCTAAATTTCTATTTACTTATTTTATATGGGTATATTGTTAGGATATGTATTTGTGTACCACAAATGTGCCTGGTACCTGTATAGACCAGAAGAGGGTATCAAATCCCCGAAACTGTTGTGAGCCATTATGTGAATATTAGGAATTGAACTCGGGTCCTTTGAAAGAGCAACCAGTGCTCTTAACCACTGAGCCATCTCCAGCCCTCAATGATGATGTGTTTCAGAGAATTCTCCTATTCGAAGGTGTGGATATGTGAACATGGGGATGAAAACTCTACGAAGATTGTTTTCTTATTTGTTTGGAGGGGTTTGGAGAGGGCTGCACACACTGGCTAGCACTGCAGTGTGTGTGTTTCTCAACTGTCTTCATGGTGGCTTTGCTTCCCAAATGCAGACTCTTCTTCCGGGCACCTCAGAGACAGGTAATGACAGAGGCCTGGTTTTCATCCTTAGACCCGAGCAAACTATGTGCACTTGGTACTTGGAGACGAAAGATGCCAAGCCTGTTCAAAATGTGGCCATTCCACTCTCCTACTCAGAAAGAGGTAATTTCCCAAGTTCATCTGTGGAATATGAGCTTTGTTTGTGGAAACCTAAGGAAAATTATCCTGGTAAAATTGTTTATTACAATTGCAGTTTATTTAATCAGAGTGTTTTAGTGTAAGAGGCAGAGGAAGCAGCATTAGAACCAGCCCTTCATAGTTACATGTTATTCTAGGCAGAGGCGGCAGTAGGCTTATCCTAAAGAAGGTGCAGGGTTTGGAGAGTGGTGAGCAATGGGAGTATCTAGAGCTGAGAGCAAAGAGCCTTGAACACAGTTTGCATGCAGTGCTAAGGTGGGTTCAGAGGAAGCGTAGAGGGTTTGGGCAGAGGGAACACTGTTTCATCTTTAGACAGCTGAGCATAGAGGGACTGATGATGTTGCTTGGTTGGTCAGTCTTTGCCCAGCATCCATGACACCCTGGGTTCCATGTCCAGAAAACTGGCCACTGTGTCGCATCCTGTTATCCAGGACGGGGAGGTGGAGACGGGAGGACTAACAATTCAGAGTCAGCTCCATGGCAAGTTGAAGGCCAGCCTGAGCTACAGGAAGAAGAGAGCAGAGTGACAGAGCCGTGGCGAGTCAGGGAGCTCTTTCGACAGCGTGGGGATGAGACAGGCCACAGTGATGGCTCAGTGAAGTGGGGTGAGGAAATTTAGACTGTTGAAGTTTGGGAGTAGGGCTGGAGAACAGCTCTGTGGTAGAGTGCATACAGCCCTGGGTTTGAAAAAGACATTTTGACGGGGAAGGGGATGAGGGAACTGTACACTTTCGAACCTGTCATGACTCAGTCATGATCCAGCAGCAGCACTGGTGTTGTGTGTTGACATATTGCTATATAGGAAGTTCTCGTGAAGGATCTGTTTCCTGGAGCATGATAAGAATTCTTGGGTTACTAATCTCACCATTTTTCATGCAGATCCTATTCCTGGAGGCTGTAATTTGGAGTTTGATTTAGATATCGATCCCAACATTTACTTGGACTATAATTTTTTTGAAACAACTATCAAGTTTGCACCAGCAAACCTAGGCTATGCAAGGTATGGCTGCCTATCCACCTCTGCCAAAACCCCACTTTGGATACTCATGACTGTAGCACAGGTCCAGCCAACTGCCTCAAGCCCCTCATTTTCTATAGTAAAGTTGATTTGCTTTTTGTTTGGGGTGGGGGTTGGCATAATTTAAACCTCAATGCTAATATTTGAGCTATTGTTTATACTGAATAATCTCCTTAATTCTTTTGAATTCTTTATTTAAAGAGACAGGTGTGATGTGAGCCTGTCATGAGCTTGGAAGTGCATCTTAAGATTTATTTTTATTATCAAGTGTGTATGTGTCTGTGTGGATATATGTACATGAGTACCTGTAAAGGTTAGAGGTGCCGGATGCCCTGGGGTAGCAGACTTTCTTTTAGGCCACCAACCAGCTCCCAAATCATGACATGGAGACTTATTATTAGTTGTGAATGCTTGGCCTTGTCTTAGCTCTTATTTTAATCTGTTTCTCTTCATCTACATTTTTACCTTTTCTTTTTATATGTCCCACTCTGTGTCTGCTGGCTGGTGGCTGCATGGCTGGCCCTGGGCATCCCCTTCAGATCTGTCATTCTCTTCTCCCTCTGGAGTCTAGATTTCTCTTCCTCCTTATTCTCTGCCTTCCAGACCCTAATGTCCCTCTACTGCCTAGCTATTGGCCATTCAGCTTTTTGTTAGACCAATCAGATGCCTTAGGCAGGGTGAAACAAATGCATCACATCTTTACATAATTAAACAGATGTAGCACAAACAAATGCAACACACCTTTATACAGTTAAAATAATATTCCGCAGCATAAACACATGTAACACAACTCTACATAGTTAAAGTAATTTCCATGATACCCTGGAACTGGAGCTACAGGTGGCTGTGAGCTGCCTAGTGTGGGTGCTGGGACTGAGCTTGGTCCTCTGTAAGAGAAATATGTGTACTTCACTGCTGAACCATCTTTCCAGCCCTGTCTTAGTTTTCTCAAAGCATTTAAATATAGCTTTTTAAATATAGCATTTAAATATTTAGGGCATTCCATAGCCCTAAATTCTTACACCTTATGCGGATTTAATTTTTCAAAACTCTGCCTCAGTTTCCACTTTAATATAATAGTAAGGACCGATTGACAGCTCTCTGCCCGCCCACCCGCACAGTGCTGACTGGCGAGTGTTTTTGTTATTTAATCCTGGTGCTCTTATGAAGAAGCAGTTGTTTTGTTTTGTTTTATTTTATTTTCTGGGGTCTTTGAGGTTAGACTCCCTCTTCTGGACTCCATGGGTGTACACACACACACACACACACACACACACACACACACACACACCCCTAACAATAAAATCAAATCGCTCTGGGACCAGCCCGCTTCAGAATCTGTTTTTTCTTTCAACTATGTCGGCCTCTGTGTGTGTAATAGTCAATGCTGCTGTCACAGAGAATAGACTAAGCATCCCTTATCTGAAACATCTGGGGCCAGAAGTGTTTGACATTCCCATAGACCTTAATGGTTGAACATCCCTAAATAATCTGAAACCCAAAATACTAACAAATCTGAAACTTCGGATATCATAGTAGAGCCCAAGAAGTTCTAGGTTTCAGATTTTTAGATTAAGGATTGCCAGTCTGTACTGTAAACTCCATGGGTAGATTATGAACAACAGAAATTTACTTATTTACTTACTTAAAGGCATTTGTTTATTTGCTTACATGTGTCCCTGGCTGGCTTGGAAGTCTCTGTGTAGACCAGGCTTGACCTGAACTTGCATTGACCCTCCTCAAGCCTCCCAAGTTACAGCCATGCACCACACCCAGAAGTTTTTCTCACACTATGAGGGCGGCACCTTTGGGTCTGGTGGGGCCCCTCCTGCAGGGTGCAGACTTCTTATTGAGTCCATGTGAGAAGGGAAGAGTGCCTGAGATCTGTCTGGGGCCTCGTCTGTAAGGACCAGTTTCACTCAGGAGGGTTCTTCCCTCATGACTTAATCATCTCCCCAAAGCCAACTTCTAATACTGTCACACTGGAAGCAGGAACTTCAGATACGAATTTTGGGCAGCATAAACCCAGCCCATCGCTGTGTGCTGCTTTTCTCTAGAGCACCACTTAGATTCTACAGCCCTAAACTTGGAATTGTGTCTGCAGAGGTTTGAAATGAGAGCTCTGGCTCCTTCGCATAGACGGGACTTGAGCCACAAGGGATTGATGCTCAGTTTTGTTGGTTGACTTTAGAGGTGCGGAGCCTCCACCGTGTGACGTGGACACGGGCCAGGAATCCAGGTGGAGGTTGCAGTATGATGTGTATCAGTACTTTCTGCCTGAGGGCGACCTCACTGAGGCCTCGCTGCTCCAGCATCTTCAAAGGATGGCCCAGGTGCCCCAAGTGAAGGCCAGTGCGGACAAGGTGAGTCTGGTTCTTGCAGCTCATGTGGCTGGGTTGGGTGCTCTGACATGATAATATTTGAGGAGAAGCAAGTCAATTCTGTCTTGATTGCAGCCATAACTGTGACCTCATCATCCTGAGGTAGGAAAAGAAGCCGGTGATAATTTTCTGTACACTTCAGTAACTTAGATAAGAACTTCTGGCAAGTGTAAAAGGGAAAAGTCTAAAAACTGAGAAACCACTGAAGGATATACAAATAGGTATTAATATTTTTAACATATTTTACAAATTCTTTGAGAATTTCATACATGAATGCAATGTATTTTGATCATATTCACTCCCAACTCCTCCTTCTAACAACTCCCAGATCTACTCTCGACTCCTTCCCAACTTCTTGTCTTTTTGTTTGTTTCAAATAACCCACGGAGGACAGTTGGTGCTGCCCATAGACTTGTGGGTATGAGCCATCCAGTTGAGCATGGTCAACCTACCGGAGCTACACTCTTAAAGAAAACTGACTCAGGGCTGGAGAGATGGCTCCGCTGTTGAGAGCACTGCATGCTCTTGCAGAGAACTTGGATTCAGTTCCCAGCACCTGCATCAGGTGGATCAGAACTGCCTGTAACTCCAGCTTCAAGAGGATCTGCATCCTCTTCTAGACTCCATGGGTACTGACACTCACAAGTGCGAATTCATACATGCAAGTACACACACACACACACACACACACACACACACACACACATACATACACACATACACAAACACACACGAACACACACATGCACGCATGCACATGCGCTTAAGATAAATAAAATCTGGGCTGGAGAGATGACTCAGAGGTTAAGAGCACTGGCTGCTCTTCCAGAGGTCTTGAGTTTAATTCCCAGAAACCACATGGTGGCTCACAACCATCCATAATGAGATCTGATGCCCTCTTCTGGCCTGCAGGCATACATGCAGGCAGAACACTGTATATATAATAAATAAATAAATTTAAAAAAAAAAAAAGAAAGAAAAAAGAAAATCTTTTAAAAAAGAAACTGACTTTCCCTCCCCCGGAAGCCATCAGCTGTCAATAGCTCCTGGGGACTCTATACTGGAGTGTGGACTGGCTTGGTGTTGTGCAGGTGACCACAGCTTTTAAAAAGCCATGTAAACACCACTTGTTATGTTTGTCTTTAGGTGGTTACCCTAACAGCGGATGATAAAACGACTGTGTCTTTCTCTTCCCTCCTGGGACAAGGAGTCATTTATAATGTCATCGTTAGGGATCCGTCCCTCAATACATCTGCTGCTTATGTTCCCGTGCACACATATGCCTGCAGCTTTGAGTCAGTGGATGGTAACTGTATTTCTCCTGGTGAGTATCTGGACTTAAACCTGGACAAATTCTTCCTTGACTTTGCAAATCAATTTCCACTAGTGAAGCTTAAGATTACTCAAAAATGCTTTGTCTAGCTTTCGTTCACTCATTCATCAGCTACATTTGTAAGACACCCCCACTCCCCACCCCCTATCCCCGCATCAGGGCTGAATTCACTAGTTAAGAGCACTTGTTCTTGCAAAGGACCCAGGTTGGCAGCTCACAACCATCCATAACTCCATTTCCAAGGTATCTGATTCCCTTTGCTGACCTCTGTGAGTACCAGGCATGCATGTGGTGCACAGACCCACATGCAAGCAAAACACTCAACACATAAAGTAAATCAATCTGAAAAAAAGGTGCCATATTACTATACTCCGTGCAAGGCAACAGAATATATCAGCGTAAAACTAGAGTACCGAGACAACAACAGGCAAACCCAGAGCATCAAACATTTACCTGGGGTCAGTTTCCCCACCATATACAGTGTGTGTGTGTGTGTGTGTGTGTGTGTGTGTGTGTGTGTGTGTGTGTGTATGTGTATGTGTGTGTGTGGTGAGGGAGATAAGATGGGTATGCTATATTTATAATACACACACACACACATACACACACACACACACACACACACACACACACACACACACACACACACACATGAGTAGCTAGTGGGTACCAGAAAGGAAAAAACAGCAGGAAGAGGAGCAGTTGCATGTAGATGAGAGAAAGGTCTTAGCCGCCATGGCTGGTGAAGGCCTTGCAGGCAGGAGCACATCTGGGCACCATACATGCCAGGCAGAGGGGACAGCCATGCCAAGGCCTGCTTCTAGACACCTGCCTGGAGGTGTAAAGTGGGACAGTAAGAACAGCAGTGGCTGGAGGATAGGAGCTGTGAGGCCAAGGGTGCGGGGTGGTGGCTCCAGGTTGGCCTTGAGGGGCAGAGTGGACTCTGGTTTTCCTTCCAGAGGAGATAGAGAGCACTGGAAGGTTTTGACCAAAGGGCAGGCATCCGGATCTGACTCAGACGCTGTTGGGGTCACCCGGTGCCTGAGGAGAAAAGACAGCCGAGAGCAGAAACAGCCAAATGCGTCAGGAGGCTCCTGAAGTGATGCAGACGAGGGATGTTGTGGTTTAAGGAGAATGATGTCAGTAGAGAGGTTATGAGGTGTGTGTGTGCACGTGCTTACATGTGGTGCACCTGCTTACACTTTATTTTGAGGTAATTTCACAGGAACGATGGAAGGTAATATAAAGAAGTGTGCGTGCCCCCACCCTGTTCTCGGTGTCAGTTACTGTACAGTGCTGTTCACTTCCCTTCCTTTTACTGTGTGTGCACAGTGCACACATGCCTGTCTTTCCCAGTCACTTGAGAGTAAGTTGCATGCACACATACATGGGCGGGGCCGTTCCCCGGACGAGGAACCTGTACTGTGTAAGGTGGGAACGTGAGCTGAGCACTAGCCAGGTGTTCGTCACTCTGCTTTCTCACTGCGGGTGCAGTGTGACCAGCTCTCCAAGTTCCCGCTGCTGCGATTTCCCCACCGTGAAGGGCTGCACCCTGAAATGTGACCCTGAAGAATTGCTCCCCCCCCACCCTGCCCCCGGCCTCTTTCTGTCTGTCTTTTTTGTTTGTTTGTTCCGTTTGGTTTTTCGAGACAGACTGTCTGTGTTCTGTGTAGCCCTGCTGCCCTGGAACTCACTCTGTAGACCAGGCTGGCCTCAAACTCAGAGATCTGTCTGCCTCTGCCTCCAGAGTGCTAAGACTAAAGGCGTGCGCCACCGTGGTGCGGCAACACTTTCTCTCTTCAATCGCTTCTATGCCAGCAATAGGAAAAGAAACTGCGCCTTAGATTTGTCTTGAGCCACTAGAGGGAGAGCTGACGCACTAACATAGGAGGGCCTTGGCAGTGGGTTTGGGGCACGCTTTGAAAGTCACTTTGGGACCTGCTTGTTTGAGAGCCCCATGAGATGTTGCCATGGAGGTGTTCAGTCCACGGTTGGTTGGAGGGGAGGCTAGGACTGGAGAATATCTGACCCAAGATGTGCGGCCACGGCCCGTTGGCTTCCTGCTGGGAGTGGGAACGTGGAAAGGTCCCGCTGAGGTGGCTGAGAACGAGCTGGGTGGTGGTGGGGCAGAAAGCGGTGTTTCCCGAGGGCAGTGTGAGAAAGCACGTCAAGAGCAAATGTGGCCAACTGCGTTAGAGCTGAGGAGAAGCCCTGTTGAAAAGTGACCACTGGCTTCGAAGCATGGGGGTCGTTGATGCCAGTGAGGGCAAACAGGACAGGGCGGGAGAAAGTCCAGTAGCTCTTACAGGGCTTCCCTCTAAAGAGTCGTTGGTGGTGGTAGAGCCAGCGGTAAGGCTCCTTCCCTCTGCTAGAGTTGTATCCACTGTTAAAAGCACGTGTTCCCAGCACGTGGGAGGTAGCGGCTAGAAGATCAGTTGTTTGAGGTCCTTCTCAGCCTGGGCTTCACGAGACCCTTGGCTCAACCATTTCCCTCCTCGGCAATTTATTCTGTAATGCCGAGGGTTAAACGTAGGGCCTTGTGCATGCCGGCCATGCTTGGCTGCTCTGCCACTGAGCTAACATCCTGCCCCCAGTGGTAAAGTTGTGAGGAAGACTATTCAAAGGAAGGGGCCTTCTTACAATAGGATGATGTCACTGCAGTGAGGTGGAGGGCTTAGCTCTAAAGACAGCGCCAGTGGGTGGGATTGATAATCAGGTAGCAGGGGATTTGGTGGAAGGAGGGTCACCGAGGGGTGATGTCGGGGTGGGGTTCGGTATGAAGTGCAGTGTCAGGATTCTTGCTGAAGAGCGCCAAGGTGATCGATGTCACTTTGAGGGTGGGTGGAGGATGGGGATCCTGTTAGACATTTAATGCAGTCAGGTAACAGGGAGGCTAGTTCTTGCTCATCAGAGTTTTTAGAGACCTTGTTGAGACTAAACTTTGCAAGGATGTGCACGGAGGGCCCAGGAGAGGGTTCCAGAACCTGACAGTCACCTGACTCAAACACAGCCACCCCTGCTCAAGATCCTTGAGAGAAAGTGTGAGCTTGCCCATTAGGGTTCCTCCAGCCTTCTCCCTTGAGCCCCTGCTGGTAGGTCCCCAGACCCGTCCTCTCCATGCCCAGTTGTCCTTCAAGCCCAAGTGGAGACTCTTGGGGATATTAGTTCAAGTTTAACACGGAACAGGTCCTTCCAGGGCACACAGCAGGGAGGGTGTGTCCACCTTGCTTGTTCCTACAGACCTTGGCCTGTGGGTCAGAGCCTCTGGTCACTGATGGCTGAAGGCAAGCTTTGGTCTTTCTGACTTGTTCTAGTCACTCTTTGTCCACACTGCCACTGTTATATCTAGATTCTAGTTTTTAAATTTTCAGTTAAGTAAATTGGTAGTTTTTTTTTTTTAACTTTAAAAAAAGTTTTACATGCCAGGTAGCGGTGGCACACACCTTTAATCCAGCACTTAGGAGGCAGAGGCAGACAGAGCTCTGAGTTTGAGGACACTTTACTATAAAAAAAAGTTTCGGATCAAAGAAAAAAAAATCTTATCTAGGAGAGCAAATATTTATACTGTCCATGGGAAATTAAATACAATGTTTCTAGTGGGTGTTTTGTGTGTTCTGAGGTCACTCAGACTTGCTCTGTACTGAGGATGACCTTTCACCACCTGGCTCCCTTCGGCCACCTCCCCAGTGCTTGGATTACAGGGTCTGTCACCATACCTGGCTTAGATTCTTAAGATGGTTTCCCCACCCCCAGGTTAATGTGAGTAATTCTTCCCTTACCCTTATACCTGGGTCTGTGATAGAGGAGAGCTTCTCTCCCATGTCAGGAACAATGGGTAACTCTCTGTATAGTCTTGGGCAACCCCATTATCTTGGTGATCTTACTTGCTACTTACTAGAAACTACTCCATGTGTGTGTGTGTGTGTGTGTGTGTGTGTGTGTGTGTGTGTGTGTGTGTGTGTGTGTGTGTGATGGTGGTTTGAATGAGAACGGCCACCATAGGCTCATATATTTGAGTGTTTGGTCCCCAGTTGGTGGAACTGTTTTGGGAAGGATTAGGAGGTGTGGCCTTGTTGGAGGAGGTGTGTTACTGGGCACTGAGGTTTCAAAAGCCCATTCCGGGCCCAGTCCCACTCTCTCTGCTTCCAGCTTATCGGTGAGATGTAAGCTGTCAGCTCCTGCTCCAGTCAGGCCTGCCTGCTTCCATGCTTCCACCATGATATGATGCTCCTGGACTCACCCTCTGAAACTGTAAGGAAGCCCCCGATTAAGTGCTTTATTTTAAAAGTTGCTGTGGTCATGATATCTCTTCACAGCAATAGAACAGTAACTAAGACAGTGTTCATGTGTGTGTGCATTCGTGTGTGTACATGTGTGTGCGTGTGGAGGCCAGAGGTTGGTGTTGGATGTCTTCCTGTGTCACTCTCAATGTCATCTTTTGAGACAGAGTCTTTCACAGACCTGGAGCTCTCTAGTGTGGCCAGCAAGCCCCAGGGATCCTCTTCTCCACCTCCCCCACAACAGGGAGGCATTCACTGCCACATCCACTTGTTATGTGGGTGTGGACCTGAACTCACATCCTCGGGCTTGGAAGGCAGTTCACCAGCTAAGCTGTCTTCTTCACCCCCAGGTTTTTAATGCAAAGAAAAACCAGGCAGAACTCTCCACCCAGCTCCATGGTTTTGGTGACAGTCACCCACGCACGTTCTGAAGCAGAATGTGCATTTTTATCTTTCATGCAATTGTCCTGTGGATCTGCCGTGATTCACAGACTGGCCTTATACCTTTCATCTGTAGCTTAAACACATGTCCTCACGCTCTCTACATTGGACACTCTGGAGCAACTGATGTATTTCAATTTGTGGCCAATTTGTAAGTTTTTCAGATTGTATAGGTGTTTGGCATCTGTTCTTATACAAGGATCATTTCCTCATGCTCTTTTTGAAGGGTTTCCAAGGAAGGTGAATTTGGTGAGCAGTGTTTTCTCTTGATAAGGGCTATCTTTTTTAAAACATCAGAGCAATTTATTTACTTTTATGTATGTGGATGTTTTGCTTGCACGTGGTCTTTGCACTCTGTGAGTGCAGTGCCAGCAGAGGCCAGGAGAGGGCATTGGATCCTATGGAGCTGGGGCTACAGCCGGTGGTGAGCCACCATGTGGGTGCTGGGAATGGATCTGCATCCTCTGTAAAAGCAACAAATGCTCTTACCCAGTGAGCTGTCTCTCCCGCCCCCATTGCTCAGTGTTTCTGAGACAGGCCTCTCTCTGACTGTAGCACAGTTGGCCTTGAATATGCAGTGATCCTTCTGTCTCAGCCTCTGGGGCTGGGGTGACAGGCATGCATCACCACAGTGGCTGAGTCAGGTTGTAGCTGAGGAATTTTCTTTGACTGAGTCGCCCCACTTTTCTCCCTGCAGTTTATTTGTTGACCACACAGACTTGTCATAGGCACATGTTCTGTCATACCCTTCCTAAAGAAACACCGTGGGCGCCAGGAGCATGCGCTGTCTGGTTCTCCTTGTTATAAAAAGCAGGGGTTGGTCGTAATCACCTGCACAGATTAACTCATTAGGGGAACAAGGATATTTTTAAGAGCAATGATCTTGTGTGGAGTTAACAATTCTCAAACCAGTTCATCTTCCTTTCTATCCTGCTTTGCTTATTGATTAATGAAGATGTATTGACTCACTAATTTTTATTTATCTATTTACATATTTTTAAGGAAGAGTACCCACCAAAGTGTTCTTCACTCTGCTTGCCCTGCTTGGGCTCTTCGTTTGTTTCTTTGGACACAGATTCTGGAAAACAGGTATCATTTCCCACATAGACCCTCATTCTGCTACTCCGAGGCTAGCTTGGGTTACATAAAGGAGACTCTTTCTCAAAGAAGAGAGAAACATGGCCAATGAACCATGAAATTAGCAAATAACCATTAAATTATGTAAGAGGCACAACACAGGCCAGTGCAGCTAGTGTCTGATGTTGCAGCCTAGAACATTGATTACCCATTTAATGATAAAACTGTTACTACTGACTTTTAACGTTCCCCTGCCTTCCCGATAACTCTGGGAACGGCCCTGGTGTATGAGTTCTAGATGCTTGCGCACAGACTTGTAGATTAGATGCCGCCATTGTGCTGTGCAGATGCCTGACGTACGTTTCCACTTGTCCCCTTTTCCTCCTAGAACTATTCTTCATTGGCTTCATCTTCCTGGGGTTCTTCTTTCACATCCTCATCACCAGACTGACGCCCCTGGAGTATGACGGTGAGTCCAGGTGACGGTTTAGCTGGATGTGCGGACAGGAAGCTGCTGGGTTTGCACCCACTGTGCCTCCCCCTCTTTAACCGGGGCTGTGTGTCATATGCATCAAGTGTGAGATGAGGGGCAACCTGTGCCTGGAACAGCACTCCACCTCCACATCCCGGCTTGCTCTCCTGGGTACAACAAAGAGGTAGCGCCAGGGCACACGCCTGTAATCCCAGCACTCAGGAAGCTGAGGAAGGAGGATTAAATATCTGAGAGTAGCCTGTGCTACATAGTGAAACCATGTCTCAAAAAACAAAAACAAGCCAGGGCGGTGGTGGTGCACAGCTTTAATTCCAGCATTCGGGAGGCAGAGGCAATGGGATGTCTGAGCTCCAGTCCAGCCTGGTCTACAGAGTGAGTTCCAGGACAGCCAGGCCTATACAGAAAAACTTTGTCTCAGAAAAAACAAACCAACAAAAATAAAAAAAAACAAAAACAAACAAGAGGTACAATCCAGGAGTGGTTCACCAATAAAGCTTTTGCCTGGCCAGTTAAGATCCCAGGGCCACAGAAACAGAAAACCTGGGTGGGTGGCATGTACCTGTTACTCCAATAGGTGTGGGGCAGAGGCAGAAGGGTCAGCATGAGTTTAAGGCCAGCCTGGGCTACACAGTAAGGCCCAAAATAGCACACATTCCCCACTGGGGGGAAAATACCTCAAACACTCTCCTCTTCTCAGCTTCATTATTTCTTGAGACTGTGTCTGATGTAACTCAAGCTGGCCCAGAACTCACTGCGTAGCAGAGGAGACCATGAAGTTCTGATCCTTCAGATTAGTGCTGGGGATGGAACCCAGAGCTTCATGCCAGCAAACACTCTACCCACCGAGCCGCATCCTCAGCCTCCCCAGTCACGCCCCGCCCCCCACATTTAAGATTCTTCCTGACCAAGCTGGTCTGTCCCCACCCCTGGGGTGACAGTGTCTTTAAGGACATGTAGGCTGAAGTTGAGGTTGAAGCTCACTGATCCATCTTCCTGCGCCTTCTCCCGTGTGCAGTTCGTCTGGTCCTCACGGCTGTAGTCGGCAGCCTCGGTGGGATCTTCCTGGTGGCCTCATGGTGGCGATTTGGGACCCTCATGCTCTGCATGCTGTGCGTTGGACTCGTGCTGGGCTTCCTCGTCTCTTCTGGGACTTTCTTCACTCCTCTGGGTAGGAGACAATGACTCTCATGCTGGCGGTGTGTGTGTGTGTGTGTGTGTGTGTGTGTGTGTGTGTGTGTGTGCACATGCACGCACTGAAGCTGGTCAGGAATCAGGATCCTGGAGTGTGTTGCTTATCTCTGCCTTCTGAAGAGCCATGATACTTGCACTGATGGCCTGGCACTTTAAGAGAGGGTCAGCTCAGATTAAAGAGTCCTTTTCTCGGAGGACCTTCCTAGGGGATCTTAGAACGTCCTCAGGGATGGCTTTCTGTGGACTTCTGTTACAGGTAAGGTAGGTAACGGGGCTCGTAGGGCAGAACAGAAGTTTTATTTTTATTTTATTTTTAAATTTTCTTTCAATTTCATTTATTTTGATACAAGGTCTTCCTTTGCAGTCCAGGCTGGCTTCAACTCATGCCAATCCTTTTGTTTCTGTTTCCTGACCTGACCTGAGATTACAGGTGTGAGCCAGTAACCTTTTGAACATTTTAAATCCTCAGGGTCTAACTTGAGTCCTAAGGCGATGCCAGTATGTCTCACAGATGACCCAGGTGCTGCTCTGATGGGCACTGAGCTTGAAATCCGGTGCTGTGACCAGTGTTCACTTGACCCGTCTCTACTCCTGCCCTTTGCCGTTTCCACCTCCAAGTGCTCCTCAGGCAGCTCTAGGCTGGTTCTGCAGTGTTCCTTCTATTTGAAGTTCTTGTTCTGAGTTATTTATTTCCATCAGTTATAAAAATCTGATGGGGCCGGGCGGTGGTGGCGCACGCCTTTAATCCCAGCACTCGGGAGGCAGAGCCAGGCGGATCTCTGTGAGTTCGAGGCCAGCCTGGGCTACCAAGTGAGTTCCAGGAAAAGGCGCAAAGCTACACAGAGAAACCCTGTCTCGAAAAAACCAAAAAAAAAATAAAAAAAATAAAAAAAAAAAATCTGATGGGGGCTGGAGAGAGAGCTCAGCAGTTTGTAGCACTGGCTGCTCTTGCAGAGGACCCAATTTTTAAAAATTATTTACTTTTTTTTCCCTTTGGGGACAGGATCTCACTGTGTAGTTCTGACTAGCTTGGAACTCATTGTGTAGACCACACTGGCCTTGAATTCACAGAGATTCTCCTGCCTCTGCCTCCTGAGTGCACCACCACACCTGCCTCGGCCTCCCAAGTGTGTGGGAGTGCAGGTGTCTGTCACCACATGCTGATTTTTAACCTAGTCTGTAGAAGAGGACCCCATGTAGCTCTAGGTCACCCAAGGTGTGTCGTCCACTGGATTGTAGAAGCCAAAGTGCATGGGGCACCCTGGTGGCCCATGCCAGCCTGTCCTGGAGCTCTTCATGAGCAGGAATTGGCTTAGTGGTTCAAATCTTGACTTTGAATGTTGTCTGTGGGGATCCCCCCATTACAGAGGATCATGAAAGCTTGGAGCTGGAGGAGAGACAAGGAGCCTTCACACAGTATAATCCAGTCTTCCCACTTTGGGGGTAGGAATCAGACCCAAGCCACAGGGCTGAGGAAGAGGGCAGGGGCTGTGTATGGCAGCCTCTTCACATCATCCTCTAGGTCCCCTCCACTTTCTAGAGCACGCCCTTAAAAAGGGATTAAGTTAGCTGGGTGAGGCTGCACACACCTTTAATCGCAGCACCGGGGAGGCAGAGGCAGGTGGCGGATCTCTAAGTTCAAGGCCAGCCTGGTCTACAGAGAGAGTTCCAGGACAGCCAGAGCTGTTACACAGAGAAACCCTGTCCACAAACCAACCAACAGACACAGGGTGTGTGTCGATTACACTGACCGTTAAAGAAAACCAGTGTGCCAGCTGCCAGCACCTTCCCTGGCTGGCACTTTAAGCCTTGTGTTTGTGGACAGACACTGAGACAGTGAAATTTAAATTGTGAACATCTTGTTTATTCTTGATTGCTCTGCTTTTCCAGGAAATCTAAAAGTTTTTCGTGACGATGGAGTGTTTTGGGTGTCGTTCTCTTGCATAGCTCTGCTCATTCCCGTCATCTTCATGGGCTGCCTAAGAATAGTAAGTGTTCAGTACAGTTGGCTTCACTCATTAGCACACCCTTCCAGCCTGCAGGGAATCACTCATGGAATCCTTTTTGTGTTGTCTTTGCTAGGGAGGGGTTTGTTGTTATCTGGGCTGAGGAAGTTCTGTGATTATCATGTGTGTTTGTCCTTGTTTTTCTTCAAACAGAGTGATTATGTAGGGGTCTCAAGTCAGGTTTGCTTTCTCCACCGATTAAAGAATTAAAAGGCAGGAAAGAAGTCACACTTTTAGCAAGTTTTATTAAAAGTGAAAGTGCTAGCATACAAACCCATACACAGCCCATACACACACCTTACACACAGAGACACCACACCAATGTGGAGGGGACAACCCCCCTGCCCCCACATACAGACACCATACTAGTACAGAGAGGACACACATCTCAAACACACACATACCAAACCAGTATGGAGGGGACCCCTCCCCATACACAGATATCACACCAATGTGGAGGGAACACACACCCCACACACACACAGACATCACACCAATGTGGAAGGGAAACTGAATCCATCTCAACCCCCAAGGGCTGGGACTGCGAACTGTTTCTGGTGGCCTGGGGTGGGCTCCCTCCTCTGACTCTGGACTGGTCCACTTAAACAAAGAAAGGGAGCTGATAGGCCTGACGCTAAGTAAGTGTGTTCTGGACCAGCTTTAATGGACCTGACCAGCCTGGACTGGTCAGCCAGAGGGGCTGTCAGGTAAAAGAGGCCTACTGGCCTGTTTCCTGTAAGAGGATAAAGAATCAGGAAGTATGCCATCTTCATCATCTGTCTGTCTGTCTGGGATCTGTGCAGCCCCTTGTCCCTCAGAGTATCCGTACCTCCCAGCACCTGGAGCAGAGCCAACCACCTTCCTCCACTGCAGCAGCCCAAAGAGGCTTTAGCTTTCGCTGCCTCTGCAGAGTGGGTCCCTTGATTAGATTTTAGTGTGGAAGTTCTTTGGGGAAGATTGTTTTCTACAGTCTAGCTGTGCATTGCTTGGTGGCAGAGCTACATTCTAAGGACACTGTTAGACGGTTCAGACATCAAAGTGTACTGCACAGACCTGGAGGGCCAGTCACCACGTAGCAGAGTCTACGGAATGGGGTCATTGGCTGTATCAGTGTACAGTGTTTAGCTTTTTACCTAGTCATGTCTGGTGCCCACAGACACTAGAAGAGCTGTCAGATCTGAACATCCACTTGGGCGCCAGGTCCCCTGCAAGAGCAGCAAGTGCTCTGAGCCACTGCGCCAGCCCTATTTTGATAGCCCAGCAGTGTGGTAAGAACCTACTGTGTGGGATGGGAGGAGCCAGGAGGAATTAGGGGACAGGAACGAATTTGATAAAAATAACACTGTCTGAAATTCTCAAAGAATAAAACCCATTCTGGACATTAAATGTGGTTATTACCTTGTTTTTCACTAGCCCTTGTCATTGCTAGGACTTGGGTCCTTTCCATGACACCAGGTGGTGGTGAGAACTGAGGCTGGTCTTGCCGTGTGGGTGACACCTGTCCCCTCTGCTCTTCCACAGCTGAACATCCTGGCTTGTGGAGTTGTGGGCTCCTACTCCGTGGTGTTGGCCATTGACAGTTATGTGTCCACAAGCCTCTCCTACATCACGCTGAACGTCCTCAGGAGAGCTCTCAACACGGGTTTCCGAGGAGCTTTCATCAGAGTGCCCTTCCAGACTAACGGTAAGATTCTTGAATCCAGAAATCAGAGTGATGTTCGAATAGGCGTGCCGCCTAACCCACCCTACCAGGAGCATGTACGCATCACCTGGGGCTGAAAGATGAAACACAGTACAGATGCCATGAGAGTGCTCTGCCAATAGGCAGAGGATTCAGATGTCTCTTTGTAAACATCTAAGCAGACTTTGTTAGCTGGGCACACCTGCCCATTCTCAGATAGGGAAGCTTTGACAGCCATGGGTGGGGGCAGATGAGGAATCCTAATTTAAAATGTATTCTTTCATTTCCTTAATGAAGATTCCATTTATTTTCAATTAGTGATCATGTAGTTGCCTTAATTAGACGATTTTGTCCATTACTGACTTTCTATCTTAAGTTGTCTTTGAGACAGGGTCTTACTCTGTAGCCGAGGCTAGCCTCTCAAACTCCCAGTGATCACCCTGTCTCAAGCCTTCCAGAGATGATGACAGGTATGAACCCCAACACACGGTGGCCTTTGTTACCTTTTAAAGGAAACAAATGGTGCACTACACGTTTACAGAGTTTTCAAACTTTGTTGATTTCAGGAAAAGCGTGTCTTAGAACTGGGGACTTAGGAATGGCACAGCTGGGACTGTTAGGAGTTTTTGGGGAAATCTTTGCCTCTACTTAGCAACAATCCAGATCTTCCCTTTGGATGAGAGGTCAGCAGTGGAGACCTTGTGTTCAGAGAATTTTCTCCCTGGGGGTGGAGGTATCTACCCCTGTCCTAAGTTCTCCACTACAAGGTTGGTTCCACCAGAGTTCCCCGTGGAGACCCAGTGAGTTGGGCTTAATTACAGAGCCTGGGCAAGAGATTGTCTTCAAGAGCTTGGGTGACCCCAAGGTAGCCACTCTGGAAAGTCTGCATCCAGCACAGGCAATGGCGTTCCCATAGCCACGTCTTTGCTGGACGCTCATTGGAATCTGGGCATCATCTCACGCCATCCTGTGTTCCCTGTGTGAGCAGTCTGCCCCCACCCTGCCCCCTGGAGTGGACTGGTGTATGTGGAGAGTGACTGGGGCAGCCATGCTTGTGGGCACTGCACACACATGTAAGGCTGGGAGCAAGACAGCCGACTTTTCACCACTTGCTTTGACTTTCTGGATGCCTGTAGTAGAAGTCTGTGGTATCTCCTCACACCTTGCTTGTAAGTGCAGAAATACATGTTTGGACACAAGTCCAACACTGGAAAGGAAGACATGGATTTAGCCTGTTGCACATTAGAAGTTAAACAATCAGAGGCAGGTGTCTTGGTGCACAGCTGCACTCCCAGCATTCAGCAACGGAAGCAGGATTGCCATGAATTTGAGGCTAACACAGGCTCATAGTGAGTTCCAAGTCAGGCTACAGAATTCCATCTTAAAAACAAAATGAAAAAGAAAAAGGAAGCCGGGCAGTGGAGGTGCTCGCCTTTAATCCCAGCACTCCAGAGGCAGAGCCAGGCGGATCTCTGTGAGTTCGAGGCCAGCCTGGGCTATCAAGTGAGTTCCAGGAAAGGCACAAAGCTACACAGAGAGACCCTGTCTTGAAAAACAAAACAAAAAGAAAGAAAAAGGAATAAAAGGGGTGAGGGAAGAAAAAAAGGAGGACTCGGGACCAGGGAGATGGCTCAGTGGGTGACGTGCTTGCTCCATACCATGAGGACCTGAGTTCACGTCCCTGGAACCCAGGTAGAAGCCAAGCATAAGTGTGCATGTGTAACTCCAGTGGGTGGGGCTTGCTCTGTTGGATCAGGTCTATGGGAGAGCTGTCCAGACAATACGGTGCCAAGCAATAGACAGACACCTGCTGCCTACTCCGGCTTTCACACACATGAATCTGCGTTCACTGCAAATATACAATTTTGGGGGAGGGGTTGAGAAAGGGTTTCTTTGTCTAGCCCTGGCTGTCCTGGAACTCACTTTATAGACCAGGCTGGCCTCAAACTCACAGAGATTCCCCTTCCTCTGCCTTCTGAGTGCTGGGATTAAAGGTGTGTGCTACCACCTGACTACAGTTGTTTTTTTTTTTTTAAATAAAAATATCTGGACTTGGTGGCTCATATCTATAATCTTGGTATTCAAGAGGGCAAGGCAGGAGGGTTACCAAAGTTTAAGTATAGTCTGAGCTGTAGACTGAGACACTGTCTCCATGAATACAAAGGTGCTTCTTTCCTTTAGACTTCCTCGTCCTGGCCGTGTGGGGGATGCTGGCTGTCAGTGGAATTACACTGCAGATTCGCAGAGAAAGGGGACTGCCACCTTTCCCACCCCATCCCTACAAGCTGTGGAAGCAAGAGAGAGAACGCAGAGTGACTAACATTCTGGACCCCAGCCACCATGTCCCTCCGCTGAGAGAGAGGCTGTATGGCCGACTCACTCAGATCAAAGAGCTCTTTCAGAAGGAACAGCCTGCCGGAGAGCGGACACCCCTGCTTCTGTAGAAGGCTGAGGGCTTGGTCAGTGTGCCTCACCCTGGAGTTCTCATCTAGACTGCCCAGCTGTCCCAGGTCCAGTGCGGGATCAGCTGCAGTCAGTGATAGGGTGGGTGCCCCTGTTGACAGTAGTGGAGTTAGAACATTCTAGGTGGTGGTGAGAAAAAAATCACCAAACAGCTGTTTGTAGAATGCTTTGCCTCATTTTCCACAATCCTGAGAAGTTACCCTTGGTTTATAAATACGATTGATGTGTTTTATAAAATATACCAAAAAATAAAAGTGTCAGTTCTCCTTCAAGCCCTGGTGTTTTCTCTTACAGCTTCTCGAGCAGTTTGACTCATCTGAACCTGTGGAGGGAAAGGCTGGCACTGGGTTTTTTTTTTTTTTTTTGCTTTGTGTGTAGAGGTTTAGGAATTTGATCCTAGGTCCCTGAATGGTAAGATTAAAGGAAAAGTAACCCCCCTTTCCATTAAAAGCAGTCTGATTACTTGGCTGCATCTCATATTTTAAATCAGGAACCCTTCATTTCTTTCAATGTTTTAACAATTTTTTTAAAAAGGCTGTGGGAAACTATCCTAAAATGTATCAACATAAATTCCCTGTTGTTTTGCCTCTGAGGCTTAAAGTGATAATTTATATAACTAAATTATTTCTGTAATTGAAAATAGCTGTTTATTAAAGATAATAGAACTTTTGTATGGCTAAGTTATTTACAGCCCAGACGGTGGCCTGCTCTTATTTGGGGCATTTAAGGCAGTGTCGACGATTGCATTCGATGAAGAGTGGACTGTATTTTATCAGGACGAGTGGTTGCTGCCTTCCTGAGTGTCACTAACAGGAAACCTTTTTACCTCCTGGTGCTGTGGGAAGCAGCTGTATCAGGACCTGTGAAGTCACTGCTAATGACTGCTACTGTGTTATCCAGGCCTGTGCTCCGAAGCTGAGGGAGCCAGCTAGGATGGAGACACTGGGGAGCTGCTCCTTAGGGCACCCTGGGTTCTGTAAGGAGCGCCCAGATGCCCGGGGCCGCACACCTGCCTCTCCGGGTTGTGGGCTGAGCTGGCTTCCTGACGTGTGCGACAGCTCAGCTGGTGGTGGCTGTGGTTAGTGAGGCGACCACTCCATGATGCTTTTTAGTCTCTTCACTGGTAGTGGGAGGAGTCTTCTGTTTGGGTTTTGAAATGTTTTGAAGATAAAACATAATGAAAAAATTACAAAATGAACCACTTTTGTTTCAAAAAATTCTTATTCTGTTATTAGTGTCTAGCTTCACAATGAACTTGTTTTATGAAAAAAACTTTACTATAGTGACTCTGGCTTCTATCACATGCCTATATTTTAGTTGCGTGGAATGTTGGAGAGCAGTTCTCTGTACTGTCAGAACACACTGCCAGTCAGAGCTGTAAAAGGCAGAATATGCTTTCTTGGAGGGAGAATACAAATTATTTTTAAATTTTCATAACTTTTATTAATTTCAACTTGTATAATTTTTGTAATAAATACCTATTCTGAAAAAATGCTTAAGGCCTTATTGTGATGTCTCTACAAGTTTATACTGGTCATGTCTGTACTTTTACAAACAAAATGATTTAATCTGGAAAATAGTTGTTTTAAAAAACTCGGCTTAAGGCTAATAGGAAGTAAACGATACACAGGGTGATATATTACAGTTTACATATATAGTATATGTATATCTAAATTTATTTTAAAAAATTTTTTTTTCCGAGACAGGGTTTGTGTAGTTTTGGTGCCTGTCTTGGATCTCACTGTGTAGACCAGGCTGTAGATCTCTCAAACTCACAGAGATCGCCTGGCTCTGCCTCCCTAGTGCTGGGACTAAAGGCGTGAGCCACCATCACCCGGCTAATTTTTTTTTTCCGAGACAGGGTTTCTCTGTGTAGCTTTGTGCCTTTCCTGGAACTCACTTTGTAGACCAGGCTGGCCTCGAACTCACAGAGATCTGCCTGCCACTGCCTCCTGAGTGCTGGGATTAAAGGTGTGTGCCACCACCGCCGGGCAATTTTTTAAAAATTTTTAATGATTTATTTTATATACATTAGTGTTTTGCTTGCATGTATATCTGTGTGAGGGTGTTGGACCCTGGAACTAGAGCTGCAGAGAGTTGTGAGCTGTTATGTGGGTGCTAGGAATTGAACCTGGGTCCTCTGGAAGAGTAGCCAGTGCTCTTAACCACTGAGTCATTTCTCCAGCCCCTAAATTTAATTCTTGAGACAGGATCTCATGTGGCCTATGCTGGCCTTGAGCCTGCTATGTAGCTGAGGATAACCAAGTTGTCTGAGACAAGCATGGCCTAAGGCAGCATAGTTCTAGATGCTCACAGCCTAATTACGGTGTGAGGATTTGCATTTATGCACTTACTCCCTTTGTCTTGACAGTAGGAATTAACATAAACCCCTTTCAGAGCAGGCTGGTATTTGAGAAACTGTTGGAATAAGACTGAGCTTTTGGCCACAGATTCCTGCTGAAATCTGAGAGTGGGAACTGACAGGGCTCTTGTATTTTAAAGGCATCACAAACAGAAAGTGCTAAGTCTGTGGTCATAATCTCTGTAGGTAGCCTGGATCCCAACCAAGCAGCTCGATTTCCTGTAGTTGTACTGAAAGTCCCCATGCAGTCTTCCGGCCCCAGCTCCTTGAGAAGAATGGCCTGTGTTTCAGCAGTTAGCAATTCTATCCTGAATACAGGGTTAACTGCTGGTACTTGAGGAAGGTTTTGGTTGTTTGAAAAAGTGGGCTAGTTGATTTATTTTGCTGAAATGGAGAATGTCAGGGATGAGGTTGCATGTTATTATCCACTATACCGTGGTTTGCACTAGGGCTAGCACGGATGTTCTGAATATATAGCCAGCAGGATTTGCTAACAAATTCAATATGCAAGATATAAAGAAACTACAGTCTAAGATGCCATCTTTGTACCCTGCAGCTACCCTTGTAAGGATGGGGAAGACTGTAGAAGTTTGGGATGAAGAGTTTGGCTTTGGGCAGTTTCAGTCTGAAATGTCTGTGGCAGAGATGGATTAGTGTGGAAGGTGTGAGAGCTCCAAGTGGGAGCTGTTAAGTCTGAGAATCCCAGGGCATTGAAATACTCCATAGGTTATAGATGGGCGAGACCTCAGAATTGAGCGGAGTTACAGCACCATACAGGAGTAAGGCATTCGTGTGCATGAACACACACTCTCTCTCATACACTGGTACAAATAGTCCCCCACCCCCCACACACAAAAAGAACAGGCCTAAGGGCCGAGGATACAGCTTAGTGATAGAGCACTTACATACAGAGCTCTGGGTTCAAACCCCCCGCACCACCTACCCCTCCTGCAAAGAGAATAAGCTTCCAAAAAAAAAAAAAAAATTGTGTAAGAAATGTTAAGCTTTGTTTTGAAATTAAACCCGAGACCATAGCAGTTTTAAACACTCATCTTTATTGATAAAATAGGCTCCTCTTCAGCACACACTCTCAGATGTAAGCTTAAAGTTGGGTTTTTTTGGTGGGGGAGGGGGCAGTGGAAAACTTGCTAGAAACAAAGCAAATGTCTTTCAGTACTCACAACCGTAAAATTATATTCAAGAAGACAAAGGATAAATAATTTTTTTATAAAAATAATTACTTCTCAAGTAACATTTTACAATAGAGCTGCTCAACGCATTGCCTCCAACCCATCTCAACTGTGCAGGCTTTCTTCTTTTTAAAATTCTGGCCTGGGATAAAACTACGTGGACGAATGTACCATTAAATTAAGGGGTACTCTCCAAAAACCAATAGAAAAATCTTAAAAATAAATTCACTTATGTATAAATTATTAAGGCCTCTGCATGAGAACTGCTCAACTGTTTGGAGCACTGGCCTTTCCCTAACAGCCCTGTGACCCCACTCACCTCAAACAAGACTGAAAATTTCTCAAGTGAAAAGTCCTTTGAATTTTGCCAATATATGAGATTACATGTAAAATTTTAATACAAAGTAATATTTACTTAAGTGATATACTTTAAAGTAGAACTTTCTATTTGTGCTAATTTTAATATGTACTTGACACACAAGTATAAATATATTTTTAACCACATTTCACAATCTTTTATCCTTTTATTCTGATCTCTATACAATAAGAACAATTTAGGTTTCAATTGGTGTTAAAGCACACTTCTGTATCTTGTAGTCTTCAAAAGCTTTACATGTTGTAAATATATCTTTTAAGTGCAAAGGAAAATGTCCATGGGTCTGCACTTTGTTCCCATTTTCTGAGTCACAGGTTGTAGGGAAAACCTCACAGGTTCTAAGAACAAAATGGAGCTTAGACTCAGACCCAGAACTTTGTTTTTGGAACTTGTATCTACTTTTTAAGTATTTGAAGGGTAATTCGTTAAATAAAAACAAAGGAATTCCAAATTTACTTGGAGACGACCATACCCATCTTGTTATATTAAATATGTTAACTGTCCACTAGTGAGCTGTCTCATATCCTTAAACATCAAGTACAGAGGAGGAAAACCAGTTTCATTGTTAACCAAGAACCAAAACATTCTTTCAGAGTAGTTTAACCTACTAAATGTGTCTATATACGGCTGTCTTTCTTAGAAAGTAATATTCCTTCTCTTTCCTTCCTGAGATGGTACTGCATACACTCAAGCAAGTCATGGATAACTGCTAGCTAAAAGTTATGGGAACTAGGTATAGTGTAAGTGTATGCCTTCAGTGTATGGGGTGAGCAACACATTCCTAGAGCCTTTGACAGAGACGGAACAATGAGAAGGTTGACAGATAACCACGAAGGCAGAAGCCTCGTGGTCCATAAGCTGTTCTGACTCAACAGGAAGGACAGACTTAGAACAAAGTCTCCCATTCAGAAAACCACAGCAAAACTTGCAATGTAAAGCTGGGATAATTTAGGATTTCCAAACGTTTATTGGGAGTACTCAGGGTGGCCCATGTATCATCCAGGAAGCCAACAGCACTTCTGAAACTGCAGTGCTCAGCAGCACCGTGAAGACTCACTATTCACTCCGCGGCTCAGCTTCTACTTTCTTTTATATTTTGCAATCTAGTTTATGACCACTGATTATACATTCTTCTGTTCTGTCTCTTTGCCAGTGTACTTGGACATACTATAGAGGAAAAAAGGCTGATTGAAGTTGGGGTTACGTTCACTCATCCACTCACTTCTGGGCCCATCCTAGTGACCACGCAGAAAGCCACTCAGCTCTTCCTCAGACTCAGGTCACTGTTAGTCACTAATGCAGATAAAGATGTACTCTCTGATGCATCATCCTTTCGCAGGTTCA